TATTATTTCGTTACTCCCACCGACACAGCCCCAAACAGTTTCTTTCAAAACTATCAGCCTTTATTCATTATTTTGTTTTTAAAGGTAAGGGGCAATTTTCATAAAGAATGATTTGGAGAATTACTATTAATTTTTAACTTTACAAAACATTATGTCATCAATAACACATGTACCTCTCGGAACCAGTTCACAGTGTGGAACAAAGTTCCACAAATGACTTCTCTATCTGCTTGGTCTAAAGAGGATATCTCTTTGATCATTTCTTCTTTAAAACTAACAAGTGGACACCCTAAAAAGAGAAATAATGTGTAAATATTTTGACAAGTTTGCCAATTCAATTTTAGGCTATTCCCTGATTAAAGAACCTAGGAACACTGAAAATTGGTTGTGATCGCAATTTTCCTCTGGGGCTCTAATTGCATCAGATCTTTAAAATCTGTCAAAGAAACCCTTTCAAAAGAGATTCTTGGATCAACTTTCTGAGGATTCTTTCCCTGAACCTTAAGCAAAATGGAAGAGATAATGAATTCTTAAAGATTGCTTAAGATTGTGCCAAGCCATAAAGATCAAATTAAAAACATGCATTTTGTTCTGAATTGCACAATGCTTTGCATTCCAAAATCACATAAAGTACTTTAGTTTACCTAAAAGAGCATCAATTCCTTCAAGATCTCCCTTGTGTTGACTTTCTTCACAGACCCGCAAAAGGCGGAAATGAGGTGCAAGGCATATGAGAGAGGCTGGTACACTAATTAAGAGAGAAAATGCCTCATCTAAACATTAAAAGTGCCTTATGAATATCAAAGTTGACATAACTTAAAGGCTTTGATACTTCAGTTCACAAAGTTAACAACAAATGCCAGTATAAATCACTTTTCTCGCACTTTCTCTATACCTGTAAAAGTTTTAATTCTGAGGAAATGGTTGCCCCAAGACAAGGTGCTTATCACATAGGGGAAAGTGATTTAAAAAAAAACTTGCAAGGGACAAACAGTGGGTCACTATTTTTACTTATGAAATGTTACCCAGATTTTGTGGAAACCATTAGATTATATATGGTGTATACTGAACTGAGTTATTCTTATAATTATAATTGTAAACTTTCTAGTTTCCTTTCCCTTACCTGTCAAGTTTTTCCTTGCTTGTTGCACCCTTTCTGGATGCCAAGAGTAATGGAAGGATATTGACAGCTATGCTGCCTTCTTCTGCCTCATCCAGGGCATATGATAACTCCATGGGAACACCAACACTTTAAAAAACATGAAAATTCTATGTTTATAGCTAAAGATTTATTTATCTGAAGGGGGTAAGTTTCTAAAGAGACTGTGGTGCGACATCATTGGGGATATTACGAGATAATTAGGTTCTATCAACTAATTTGATAAATACATGGCCTTTGTAAAATGTTGAAAATGCTTTCAAGCATTAGCCCTTCATCAAAGGGATGCCCTGACAGGATGCCTAAAAACCCTTTTTAATACATGTATATTTCTGGCAGCATCTGTGGGCAATATGAAGCAAATCCTGTGTTCTGATTGGCTACCTAACCCACCTTGCCCACCTGGGATTGCCTGCTTTGATCAAATGCATGAAAAACATTGAATGGAGTTGATTTACAAAGATTTTAGTTTTTGGACAATGTTGGCAATGGAGTTGCAAAATGCAGCAGAAGACAGTCAAAACAAATATATATATAAAATTACTCTTGTGGTTTATTGTGCTACAAACACAGTTGGCTTACTTGCCTAGCTCTCAAAATAAACTTGTAAGTCATTCTTGATTCTTAGGAAAGAGAACTCTATTTGCTACAGATAACCTCTTTCTCTTTTGGCATTGATAAGGACCTTAACTTGGTCTCAAGAACTTGGCCAATATCCAGCCATCCTGACCTCATGCTTGGTCAACGATGCATATTTACGGTGGCCAATTCACATTATCAACTCAGATGATAAAACCAAATTATCTTCATTTAATATCTGTTTGTTTAATCTTTTCCCTGGACTGATGCAGGAACAAATGCTTTGATACCTTTCTGTGGGTTGCTCTCTGTCCACTAGAAAGTCATCTTGAAAATCAGCCACAACTGTTTCACTTATCCAGGCCTGCTACAAAATATGTACACTTATAAATAACTTTAACAATTGAGTTCCAAAATCTTTTACTTCTGAAATTAGACAAAGAGCAAACCTTTGTTTTGAAAATGATTTTTATTTGCAATATTTAAGGTACTGTTCAAATAAAAGGTTTATGCCTTAGCTTCATTTCAAAACAGAGACTTTGGGCATGATAGAAATGGCCCATTTCATTTTGAACTATATACATTCATTTGATCTTTTATTCTTTCTTCCTTGTTATTGCTTATTATAGTATTATAAGACAGTTAAATTCTTGTTAATGCTTTTGACACTCCCTGACAAGTAACATCACCTCAATTTTTGGATCAATGCCTCCAAGTTGAATAATTCTTGCCAGCTCATCATAAAACAATGCTGCGGCTTCTGGAGTCTGATTGGTGCTGTTACGTATCATTTCTAACATGCTACAAATCTGCCGAGAAATTATCAAAGACAAAGTTTGACATCTTTCAACAGAACTTGCTATCCTATTTTAAAGCTAAAATAGTGATAAGAAGCATGGGTAAGTCTACAAGAAGAACCAGTGTTTGAGAAAATCTAGCAACAGTGCATTATGAGAATATAATGGGCAGGTAGCAAATCTGCTGTATGTGACCTCTTGTCACCAACTGTTTAGCCTGCAAGCTCCAAGGTTTGGGTTTGTCTTGTTATACCCCCAGTAACCACTTATAGAAAAAGTTATTAGAACCCGTGTGAGGAAGTGACTGAAAGTACAACAACACAAGTAGAGGTCATCTGCTAAGTCATGGGACTCTTACTAGTGATGAACTTCAATCTTTTACCTGTTTGTAAACATCATTAGAGAGAGTGGTTCTTGGTTGTGACTGAGAGTCCATTGTTTCTTCTGATCCCTCATTCACAGATCTGTTAGATCAACAAAAGACAAAAGATCACATTTTCAGGGTACATGCACTTTTTCATCAACTCTCAGCATGATTTTCACTGACAAGCAGAATTTTCCCACTCACTAAGACTAACAATTTGAAAGTTCTCATAATTTTATGTGATTGGTTATCAGCAGTAGGATTTAAGCATTAATACAATTGTGTATACCATGTGCTTGAAATTGAACAGTATAATGGGGCAGTTTCTGTATCATGCCTATGTTAACGTAATTGGGTAGAATATGTCATTAGAGTGGGTTTATATTTTCCAATAGTTAAAGACTGTGGTGGACTCAAAAGGGTCGGTTATCACCATTACAAATTTTCACAGCTTGCCTTTTCAAGCTGGAACATGCAAAACACTGACCTCCATATACAACATAATTAAATGAAAAAGAAGAGAAAAGATTTTTAAACCAGTGCAAACCTCTTCTTGGCCATGCTGTGTACAACCATAATGGCTCCTATGATACCAATTCTCTTGTATCTGAAAATAATGCACAGAAATTTTGTGAAAAGGAATGTAACTGTTGTTCAAATTAGTTATCGTAGGTAGTAACATTGCAATCACATTGAATATCAGAACATTTTAATTCTTTGTGTGTGCAAAGGGTGTGAATGTTAATTAATTTTGCAAAGCTTGTTTGATCAGCAAAGTTTACTGTGTTAGTCTTTCAAAAGAGTGTCAAAATCACACAAATTAAGACATTATAATTATCTTACTTGGCAGAATTACTTGACAGTTGTTTTCTAATCACAATATGCATGTCATCCTTGAAAAACAAAAAAAAAATCAGTTTTATAACCAATGTTCCGAGAAAATTGTTTTTTAATTAATCAGTCAATTTTGCATGGTCAACTACCATTACTGCAAACTCTTGAATCCTAACAATATGATTACTATTTAAAATTGCTTGGAATTCTTGAAAATTCCACTCGTGAAAGGATTACCCTACCAGTTTGAAATTTTTCTTTGACCCCTCATGCTTAAAATAAGGAAGACCACTATAAAGTGGAGTAGCTATTGGTAGGTCAATACACGTAGATGCATATGTGACACAAACCCAGAATATTGCTATGATCAGCAATTCCAAAAACATGCTGTGGGTAACAATTAAGTTACAGATGAACAGTAAATATTGAGTGACATTGTGGAATTAAGAGATAATAATTATTCTTTATTTTGTTACCTGCCTCTGACAGAGGAAAAATGCTTGCAATAAAACAAACATCTTTCTTTCTGAATAAAGATTACTTGTATCCTTAGTACCTGTATAAGTCCCCCTTCTTGTTGGTTGGCAAAAGCCAGGGTGCTCAGCATACTAAACAGCTTTCTGATCTGTGTTATTGTGAGATTATCCAAGTAATCCAAAAGACCCTTAAATCAAAACAAGTTGTTCTACAAAGTTACTACTTAAAGGCTTTCATCTCTTACATAAAAGAATATAGCATAGTTATGGTAACTTTCTTTAAAGAGTTAAACCCTTTTTTTTTTTTTCAGTCTAAGCATTTTTGTTTTCTTTCAATATTAAATTTTTTGCCTAACATGTTCTAACTTTTGAAACAATAAGAGCGACGAGCATCTAATTTCTCCTTAAGGTAACACTGCTGGCTGAATCCCTTATCAAGATCATGAGAACAAAGGAAATCATCACCAATCTAGGAAGCTTGGTGTGGCTACCATTTTTAATTCCATTTCGTTATTTTCATTTCCGGTTGTTTCGTTATGGAATATCACGCAAGTTATTCCCAAGTGCTTTTAGATTTGAAGTCGCTTGTTACGTATGTTGTAGTCCTGGTATGGGTCGCTGTATTCCCAATTAGAGTAAAACAGTTCTTTAACGTGCTTAAGGCACGTTTTTTATTAAAATAAGCCGCAAAGGTAACACTTGGATTATTAAACAAACTCTCCCGGTCAGTACCAAAGGAACTATGTAGAGATGAGAGGATAATTATGAATACTGACATTAATCCAAGATCTGATTATCAATTCTCCCCTCTAACTGCCACACATCTCCTTGTAAATTGGTGACAAGAATTATCAAGGCAACAACTTCTACCGTAATTTCCAGCCGTTTACCCTTGGCCAATTACCTGCACCGGTCGATTATTGCATGTAGCGAAAAAAAAAAAAAAAGTCAACAGATTACCCACACTGGTGGATAACCTGCACCTTAAAAGCAAAGGAAATTTGTACAAAATGCTCTGAGAATTCGTGGCCACATTTTGTGCAAATGATCATTATGCGCCATGTTGATTTGTTGATTTCTCAAAAAAATCCATATCTCCGGTTCTACTGGGCCTAACAAGTCCCTTAAAACAGGGAAAATTATTTTCAGCGGAGGCTAGTGTTAACTGGAAATTTGTTACTGATGCGCTGGTATCCTTGGTTTATTTTTTTCACCAGCAAGGTTTTGTTTACACGCATGCCGATAGTAATTTGTTCATCGCGCAACTAATTGTGCGTGAAATAAACTCAAGTTGGCATCATGTTTTCGTGCCGCTTTGTGGCACTTTTAATACAATAAAATTCATCTGAGAGGTGGAAACTCAGGTAGGTGAGAATTTTTTTCAATTCAACTGCCAATAGATTTCAAAATTGTCACATAACCGGCACCTCCCTGTTACCCGCAGTGGCGCATGTTTAAGGCAAAATCTACAGATTACCTGCAGGTAAACAGCTGGAAATTATGGTACCTGATAAGTTTGAGTATTCTCATTACCTGTTTGGTGGATCACGTATGGATAATATAGGGAGAAGTTACAGGTTAATCACTTCTAGGAGTTAAAGGGTTAAGAGAAACATTGGCTCCTTGTACAAAACTGTGTTTACTTATAGATTTGGAAGAGATTAGCACACTTCCCCCCAGTTCATTGAAGTAAATAAAAGGCTTCATGTGTTATATCAGTCAACAAAAAACTAACTGTAGACATAAAAGTCCTAATGAGCAGTTGAACTTACTTTAATAAAAATAGCAAAAGGTGCCATGATATCTGCATGAGATTCAACAAGATCTGATAGCACATCTAATGAGGCGTCTGCTTCTGCTGCAAATCCACTGCCTATGTGGGTCACTAATGTCCCTACCACCTCCTACAACAAGAACCAAGGTCTGTTTTATTTTCTTTTATATTCTGGGCCTGCTGTAATTGGCTATGCTGTTGCA